ACGACAAAATCGTTGAAAGAATACCTGAAGCAAGATAAATCATGTCAAGAGTAACTGGAAATGTAAACACTGCATACAACTGTCAGCAAATGGTTCTGTGATTCACAGCTAGTAGTTTCACAGATAGAAATCAATCCTACCAATCCAGGAGCTGGAAATTTCTTCTGCATATCAGCCAAAAAGTAACTATATCTTTGAAACTTGAGCTAACTGATGATTTTTATATGGAAATCAAATTTCTCATACCAAAAAATTTCTCATTTCTCAGACCCCCGGCCCATTATTGTATAATTAGAATTTTGGAGAGTCCATCGGTAGTGTCAAAAGTGAATTTGGTAAAATGGAAATTACATCCGTAAAACTGAATATTTCTGCAATTGTAAATTATCAAATAAGTTATAAGATTCAAGATATATAATGTAGAGGTTCATAAATAGAATGTGCAAGGCAGAGGTAAAAAAAGACGAAAAATTCTTTAGCTATGTCCATCACTGGTGTTGTTACCCTTGCCCTACTTCAAATACTTAGTTTTATTTTATTATTGAGTGTGATAATTTATTATTTATAGGTGCGAACGACAGTGGCTGTAAAGATGAGGAATCCCATTACTGTTCTCAGTGTAAACGTAAATTTTCTACATCTAAAGATTTGAAAAGACATATAGCGAGCTGCCACATTGGCGAAAAACCTCATCATTGTCCTCATTGTGACTTTAAATCTGTTACACCTTATAATTTGAAAAGACATATTATGGCCCATCACACAAATAGAAAACCTTATCATTGTCCTTATTGTGACTATAAATCAGTAATATCTCATCATTTGAAAGTACATGTTATGGCCCGTCACACAGGTGAGAAGCCTTATCATTGTTCTCAGTGTGATTTTAAATCTGTTATACCTAATGATTTGAAGAAACATATAATGGTCCGTCACACTGGTGAGAAGCCTTATCATTGTTCTCAATGTGATTATAAAACTGTTATACATAATGATTTGAAAAAACATGTAATGGCTCGTCATACTGGTGAGAAGCCTTACCAATGTCCGCAATGTGACTTTAAATATGTTTCATCTAGTAATTTGAAGAAACATATAATGGTCCATCACACTGGTGAGAAGCCTTATCAATGTTATCAGTGTGATTATAAATCTGTAATACATAATGATTTGAAGAAACATGTAATGGCCCGTCATACAGGTGAGAAGCCTCACCAATGTACTCAGTGTGAATATAAATTTGTTAGTCATAATGAGTTGAAGAAACATATAATGGCCCGTCACACTGGGGAGAAGCCTCACCAATGTACTCAGTGTGACTCTAAATTTGTTACACATCGTCAGCTTAAAGTTCATATTATGGCCCGTCACACTGGTGAAAAGCCTTATAACTGCTCTCGCTGTGATTATAAATCTGTTAAAGCTAATAGTTTGAAAATTCATGTAATGGTTCATCATACAGGTGAGAAGCCTTATAATTGTCCTCATTGCGATTATAAGTCTGTTACACCTCGCGAGTTGAAAAGACATGTGATGGCCCTTCACACAGGCGAGAAGCCTCATCAGTGTCCTCATTGTAGTTATAAATTTGTCACACCTTATAATTTAAAAAGGCATATTAGGGCCCGTCACACAGGTGAGAAGCCTTATCACTGTTCTCACTGTGATTATAAATCTGTCACACCTGATGTTTTAAAAAGACATATAATGTTTCGTCACACAGGTGAGAGGCCTTATCACTGTTCCCTCTGTGATTATAAATCTGTTACATTTACATATTTACAAAGACATATAATGGCCCATAACACAGTTGAAAAGACTTTTGACTGTCCTCAGTGTGACTTTAAAACCGTTACATCTCAGCAATTGAAAACACATGTAATGGGCTGTCACACAGGTGATAAGCCTTATCACTGTTTTCAATGTGATTATAAATCTGTTACATTTCCACAGTTAAAAAGACATATAATGGCCATTCACTTAGTGGGATGAAACACTAAAATGGAAGACTAATTTTGAATTTTTATCAATATTTTTTGTTTTTCGAAACATTTCTTTCCTGTTGAAAATAGATACTTGACAACAGTATGAAAGAGGCAGTATGTGAAATCCTTGAAAGGAATTTTTGGATAAACATATGCAACCTGCAGTAAAACATGTAAGTGGCTCTTTAATGATTTGGGAGTGTTTCTATGTCTGAAGCTGGAGACCTCTTACAATTTGACGTATTGTAAAATTGATGTAAAAGGATACCATAACATCCTTACATACCGTGCAATAAATACCATCTGGGCTTCATGTGTTTGAGCAGATACTCAACTTGTCCGTCGCTGTTTCCATACTTTTACGTTAAAAACATAAAGATCACTTGTTATGATTTTGGCAGAAAGTCTTTGAAATGGCAGAAAAAAGTCTTCTATCGCCTGTCAATGCATGGATCATCCGTTTGGATTAAGAAAAAGAAAAAGACAAAATTATTACAGTTCTTCGTTCCACTTGTTGATTCACGGAAAAAAAACATTGCACTGTCAAACATCGATCTAATGGAGGGAGGCCTTCAAAACGAGTACGACTATCACATAATGTTGACGGACATCTTCCACTAGAAGGACAGAGGCGACGATGATGTGCGCGTTGCTCAAAAAATGACATTGATAAAAGAACAAAGTTAAAATGCACACAATGCAACATTCCTTTATGCTCACAATGTTTTGCACCTTATTGTACTTCATAAATACTTTTGTGAAACTTGATTTTTTTTTTTTCAATTAAAATGTAGTTTTCTACTTGTTTGTTCATAAATGTTGTTGATATTTAATAAAATTATATTATCTTACAGTTCATCTTTCTTTTTTTTTTTTTGAGAGAGAGAGAGAAAGATACCATCATTTTTAATCGAGCTAAAGCTAAAAGCTTACAGCTCACAATTTATAAATACCATTAAAATAATAAAAGTTCTATTTATTATATCACTGGTTGATTATGAATGTACGATCTGTTGGTGGTTATGGATTGTATGATCCCTTGATTATGGATTGTACAACTATTAGTAATTAAACTGTTATTTTCCATTGCAAAGTTTACTAAAATGGAATTAAGAGATTTGCATTGTCTGTCATATACAAGTCAAAAGTTGTCACACTAATGGTAAGTGGATATTGTTGGAATATCACAAAGGGAAAATTCATAAAATTTAATAGCTAATTTAATTTTCTAAAAGGTTACATGATGATTTTTTGGAATGAACAGACACTAGATACCTAATTAGTTAAATATAATATCGGATCTAGAGTTATTAAAATACAGTAAATATATTTAAATTAAACATATCCATGAAATATTTTTATATTTTACTTCTTCTTTCACACAAGTACAATGGGATAGCACCTTAAACAATGCCATTGCCTTGAAAGAGTAAAATTTAAATACTTTTTCAAACTTAAAAAAAAATTATGTGCGCGCAGCACAACTTTCATTTACCGCTCTACTTTGAATAGAAATTATTTTCTGACAATGTTGGGCTAGTATAAAAATGTATTTTAAGCATAGCTAAAGCTTAAAGCTTACAGATAACAAACCATTAAGACCATTAAAATAGAAAAAAATTGTATTTATTACATCCTCAGTAGACAATAAAAATCTAGTTACTCCATCTGCTTTTGTAAACCACTCAACTTTAGTCGCTGAGCTCTTCAGTTGACAGAATGACTAATAACAATTTCAACATTTTGAGTAATGTCATTTTAGCGATATTTCTAGTTGGAAAATTTATATCTATAATGGCATTGGCTTGACTCAATGAATTTTAAATACTTTTTTACTTTATTTAGAACAATTTTTTAAGTTTACATTTAGTCAGAAAATTTGCTTAAAAACATGCGATTTAAATTAAATAATGTTAGTTTTTGGAAATTATTATTGACATTTTTTTTCTTCACCCTCTGTTATCTTCTACAACTTTATTTATTTGATATTATTTTTTCTATAATTCTCTGCTTTTCAACGATATACTATATGTATACATTCTGACGTTCATTTCCGAAGATTCATATTCAATCTAATCATTTTTCTCCAGTTTCCAATTATCATATTCTTTCAAACTTCATATGCTGCCATATTTTTATAGTTTCTGTCAATAAAAGAGTGTTCATTATTTTAAATAATCCATATTAAAGATACTTTAGAGGAAGACGTATATGAACATTGGGCATTTAAGCTCGGTAAAGTGACATCAACGGGGATAAGACCTGAATGATATTAAAGACCACTTAATTATACAATGATATACCGAGTTTAATCAAAATAGTTTGAGCCATTTTTGAGAAAATTATAAAAATGTGTTTCACCGTTGAAATAAATTGGCACTTCCGGTTACCCGATTGTAACGAAAAAGTTCCTGCCACATCAGAACTATATAAAAACCTTAAATACACAATTTAAGTTTTGTGCGACTTTTTCTTTTTTAGCTAGGCTCAATTATCGCTAATGTGGAAATAAAAATTACCTTATGTTTTTTACTGTATTTGATTAGTTAACTCTTGACTGCTTTGATCTACAATTAAGTCATGGGACAGAAAGTTTTCAACAATTAAATTTTCTTCGAGAATATTATATATATATATATATATATATATGTTGATTTTTAAAGTGTAATATTTTTGTTTTTTGAAGTTGCTGTGATGTATTCACTATTGGTATCGACCCCCGGCCCATTATTGTATAATTAGAATTTTGGAGAGTCCATCGGTAGTGTCAAAAGTGAATTTGGTAAAATGGAAATTACATCCGTAAAACTGAATATTTCTGCAATTGTAAATTATCAAATAAGTTAATGAGATCCAAAATATTTAATGGAAAGGTTCATAAATAGAATGAGTAACACAGAGATCAAAAAGACGGATAATTCATTAGCTATGTCCATCACTGGTGTTGTTACCATTGCCCTACTTCAAATACTCAGTTTTATTTTATCATCAAGTTTGATTATTTATTGCTTACAGGTGCGAATGGCAGTGGTCATAAAGATGAGAAATCTCATTATTGTTCTCACTGTGATTATAAAACTGGTAGACCTGACCATTTGAAAAGACATATTATGGCCCAGCACACAAATAAGAAACCTTATCATTGTCCTTATTGTGACTATAAATCTGCAATGTCTCACCATTTGAAAGTACATGTTATGGGCCGTCATACAGGTGAGAAGCCTTATCATTGTTCTCAGTGTGATTTTAAATTTGTTACGCCTAATGATTTGAAAAGACATATAATGGCCCGTCACACTGGTGAGAAACCCCATCGATGTCCTCATTGTGACTTTAAAAGTACTCAATCAGGTCATTTGAAAACACATGTAATGGCCCATCACATACGTGAGAAATCTCAGCATTGTTCGCAGTGTGACTTTAAATCCGTTACATCTCAGAAATTGAAAATACATGTTATGCTCCGTCACACAAATAAGAAGCCTTATGACTGTTCTCTGTGTGAACATAAATTGGTTACATTTCAATGTTTGAGAAAACATATAATGATCTGTCACACAGGTGAAAAGGTTAATCATTGTCCTCATTGCGACTTTAAATCTACACATAGTTTGAAAAGACATATAATGGCCCGTCACACTGGTGAGAAACCCCATCAATGTCCTCATTGTGACTTTAAAAGTACTCAATCAGCTCTTTTGAAAACACATGTAATGGCCCATCACATAAGTGAGAAACATCAGCATTGTTCCCAGATGAGGATTCATCATTGTTCTCAGTGTGATTATAAATCTGTTAATCCTCATAATTTGAAAAGGCATATAATGGCTCGTCACACGGGCGAGAAACCTCATCAATGTCCTCATTGTGACTTTAAATCTGTTACGTCTCCAAAGTTGAAAATACATATTATGGTTCATCACACAGGTGAGAAACCTTATCATTGTTCTCAGTGTGATTATAAATCTGTTACACATTTTGGTTTGAAAAGACATACAATGGCCTGTCACACTGGTGAGAAACCCTATCAATGTCCTCATTGTGACTTTAAATCTGTTACGTCTCAGAAGTTGAAAATACATATTATGGCTCATCACACAGGTGAGAAACCTTATCATTGTTCTCAGTGTGATTATAAATCTGTTACACATAGTGATTTGAAAAGACATACAATGGCCTGTCACACTGGGGAGAAACCCCATCAATGTCCTCGATGTGACTTTAAATCTGTTACGTCTCAGAAGTTGAAAATACATATTATGGTTCATCACAAAGGTGAGAAACCTTATCATTGTTCTCACTGTGATTATAAATCTGTTACACATAGCGATTTGAAAAGACATACAGTAGCCCGCCACACTGGTGAGAAACTCCACCATTGACTTCCCATCACAAAGGTGAGAAATATTATCCCTCTTGTTTCTAACCTTGCTTCTTCCTCATCTACCCCAGATATCCCTGCAAGGTGTCAGAAAAGAAGACGGCCTCTTGATATTCTGAGAAAATTGAAATAACAAAAATACAGGGAATTGGGAAACCCTCAAAAACCATAACATCCTCCATCTGTTATTGACACAGAGTTCAATGAAATTATGTTATTGGTAGGATGTATGCTTGTCATGACCTACAATAAGGTACCAAATTTATCAGATTACTGGTCAAATAATCCTTCACTTGGGAACGAGACCATCAAGAAACATATTTCAGCTTCTCATCTCAAAGTTCAATGAACCAGTGCAGCCAGCCAATGCTTCCAAGGGATATTATATTGAAGAAGTTGTAGCATGCCTCAAACGTACATTTCTTAGAGCTCAGGAGGAGTCACCGTTTCAAAGTATTGATGAGTCCATGACCAAGTTCAAGGGGAGATCTGTCCTCGAGCAGTTCATACCTCTCAAACCTTTCAAAAGGGGCAAGAATCCCAATGTAACCGTAACTTTTGATCATTTCTTTTCCAGCATTAGTCTTTTGCAAACCTTGCAACAACCTGCTGTAGGTACACTGATTTCCAACCATAAGAATGTACCTAAATTATTAAATAAATAAATAAAGGAGAAAGTCAACTGAAGGCTTCACCAGACGTGGTTTTAGTAAGCAGATGGCAGGATAGCAAAGATTTTATGGTTGCAAGCAACTGTCACAGTGCTACCTCAACGACTGTTAGCAGAAAACTGAAGGACGGGACACATTTGGAGGTTCCTTGCCTAACTCAGGTCAAGTTTAATAACCGCTACATGGGTGGTGTTGATCTTTCAGATCAAAAGATCACTTGTTATAATTTTGGCAGAAAAAAGTCTTCTATCGCCTTCTGATGGTTGCTGTTGTCAATGCATGGATCATCCGTTTGGATTTACATAAGAAAAAGACAAAATTATTACAGTTCTTGGTTCCACTTGCTGAATCACGGAAAAAAACATTGCACTGTCAAACATCGGTCTAATCGAGGGAGGCCTTCAAAACGAGTACGACTATCACATAATGTTGACGGACATCTTCCACTAGAAGGACAGAGGCGACGATTATGTGCGCGTTGCTCAAAAAATGACATTGATAAAAGAACAAAGTTAAAATGCACACAATGCAACATTCCTTTATGCTCACAATGTTTTGCACCTTATTGTACTTCATAAATACTTTTGTGAAACTTGATTTTTTTTTTTTCAATTAGAATGTAGTTTTCTATTTGTTTGTTCATAAATGTTGTTGATATTTAATAAAATTATATTCTCTTACAATTCATCTTTCTTTTTTTTTTGAGAGAGAGAGAGAGAGAGAGAAAGATACTAGTCGGACAAAAGTTACTGTCTAGAAAATACCAATGGGACATATATGTCCCACCTGTTTTGCCCATCCCTCCCCCCCCAATCAAAATATTGTTTCCCTTCGTTTTTAAACTTAGAAGAAGGTATCTAAACAGAAGGTGCCCGCAGAAGAAGAGGACAAGCGCCAGGAAGACCTCCATATTCTGGAAGCTAGGCCGAAAGAAGAAGGAAGAAGATAGAACAGAAGGACTGTGTGCACATCTAGTAGTAGTGTGTTAAGTATTCATACCTAAAACACTCTATCGCAAACACCCGTATTGCCATTGTGGCATGGGAGGGTGGAATAAATAAATAAATAAATAAATAAAGGTACCTAAACAGGAAAAAATCACAATAATGAAAAATTTCAAAAAATTAATACTTGGTAGTCAAAGGGTTAATTAACAACTAATTATCTTTTAATTTATTACAATACTCCTGCTTGATGAGAGTTCAAAATATAAAAAATCTGGTGCGTGCAACACACAACTTTCACTTACCGCTCAACTTTGAATAGAAATTATTTTCTAGCCATGTTGGTCTATTATAAAATTTTGGATGCAATTTTAATCGAGCTAAAGCTAAAAGCTTACAGCTCACAATTCATAAATACCATTAAAATAACAAAAGTTCTATTTATTATATCACTGGTTGATTATGAATGTACGATCTGTTGGTTATGGATTGTATGATCCCTTGATTATGGATTGTATGATCCCTTGATTATGGATTGTATGATCCCTTGATTATGGATTGTATGATTCCTTGATTATGGATTGTATGATCCCTTGATTATGGATTGTACAACTATTAGTAATTAAACTGTTATTTTCCATTGCAAAGTTTACTAAAATGGAATTAAGAGATTTGCATTGTCTGTCATATACAAGTCAAAAGTTGTCACACTAATGGTAAGTGGATATTGTTGGAATATCACAAAGGGAAAATTCATAAAATTTAAGTTTCGTACGACTTTTTTTTTTTAGCTAGGCTCAATTATCGCTAATGTGGAAATAAAAATTACCTCATGTTTTTTACTGTATTTGATTAGTTAACTCTTGACTGCTTTGATCTACAATTAAGTCATGGGACAGAAAGTTTTCAACAATTAAATTTTCTTCGAGAATATTATATATATATATATATATATATATATATATATATATATATATATATATATATATATATATATATGTTGATTTTTAAAGTGTAATATTTTTGTTTTTTGAAGTTGCTGTGATGTATTCACTATTGGTATCGACCCCCGGCCCATTATTGTATAATTAGAATTTTGGAGAGTCCATCGGTAGTGTCAAAAGTGAATTTGGTAAAATGGAAATTACATCCGTAAAACTGAATATTTCTGCAATTGTAAATTATCAAATAAGTTAATGAGATCCAAAATATTTAATGGAAAGGTTCATAAATGGAATGAGTAACACAGAGATCAAAAAGACGGATAATTCATTAGCTATGTCCATCACTGGTGTTGTTACCATTGCCCTACTTCAAATACTCAGTTTTATTTTATCATCAAGTTTGATTATTTATTGCTTACAGGTGCGAATGGCAGTGGTCATAAAGATGAGAAATCTCATTATTGTTCTCACTGTGATTATAAAACTGGTAGACCTGACCATTTGAAAAGACATATTATGGCCCAGCACACAAATAAGAAACCTTATCATTGTCCTTATTGTGACTATAAATCTGCAATGTCTCACCATTTGAAAGTACATGTTATGGGCCGTCATACAGGTGAGAAGCCTTATCATTGTTCTCAGTGTGATTTTAAATTTGTTACGCCTAATGATTTGAAAAGACATATAATGGCCCGCCACACTGGTGAGAAACCCCATCGATGTCCTCATTGTGACTTTAAAAGTACTCGATCAGCTCATTTGAAAACACATGTAATGGCCCATCACATAAGTGAGAAATCTCAGCATTGTTCGCAGTGTGACTTTAAATCCGTTACATCCCAGAAATTGAAAATACATGTTATGCTCCGTCACACAAGTAAGAAGCCTTATGACTGTTCTTTGTGTGAACATAAATTTGTTACATTTGAATGTTTGAGAAAACATATAATGATCTGTCACACAGGTGAAAAGGTTAATCATTGTCCTCAATGTGATTTTAAATCTGTTAATCCTCATAATTTGAAAAGGCATATAATGGCTCGTCACACGGGCGAGAAACCTCATCAATGTCCTCATTGTGATTTTAAATCTGTTACGTCTCAGAAGTTGAAAATACATATTATGGTTCATCACACAGGTGAGAAACCTTATCCTTGTTCTCAGTGTGATTATAAAGCTGTTACACATTTTGGTTTGAAAAGACATACAATGGCCTGTCACACTGGTGAGAAACCCCATCAATGTCCTCATTGTGACTTTAAAACTGTTACGTCTCAGAAGTTGAAAATACATATTATGGTTCATCACACAGGTGAGAAACCTTATCATTGTTCTCACTGTGATTATAAATCTGTTACACATTTTGGTTTGAAAAGACATACAATGGCCTGTCACACTGGGGAGAAACCCCATCAATGTCCTCGATGTGACTTTAAATCTGTTACGTCTCAGAAGTTGAAAATACACGTTATGGTTCATCACAAAGGTGAGAAACCTTACCATTGTTCTCACTGTGATTATAAATCTGTTACACATAGCGATTTGAAAAGACATACAGTAGCCCACCACACTGGTGAGAAACTCCACCATTGACTTCCCATCACAGAGGTGATATTATCATTATTCTCAATGTGATTATAAATCTGTTAAACACAATGATTTGAAAATACATACAATGCCCCGTCACACTGGTGAGAAACCTTATTGTTCTATCTGTGATTATAAATCTGTTACACATAATGATTTGAAAAGACGTACAATGGCCCGCCACACTGGTGAGAAATATTATCATTATTCTCTATGTGATTATAAACTGGAGAGAAACCTTATCATTGTTCTCAGTGTGACTTTAAATGTATTACACCTAGTAATTTACAAAGACATATAATGGCGCTTCACACAGCTGAGAAACCTTTTCATTGTTCTCAGTGTGATTATAAATCTGTCATATCCGAACTGTTGAAAATATATATTATGGCCCGTCACACAAAGCCTTATGAATGTCCTCACGGTGATTATAAAACTGTTGTATCTCATAGTTTGGAAAAACATATCATGGCCCGTCACTCAGATTAGGAACCTCATCAATTTTGAATTTTTAGTTATTGAAGATATTTATTTCTTGTTGAAGATGAGTAGTTGAGGACAGTATGTAAGGAGAAGTCCTGTAGAGAAATCTTTCGATGAATGATTGCAATCAGCAGTAAAACATGGTAGGGGTCTCTTGCAATGATGCTTGGAATAATTGATGTAAAAGGATACCATAACATCCTTACATACCATGCAATAAATACCATCTGGGCTTCATATGTTTGGGCAGATACTCAACTTGTCCGTCACTGTTTCCACACTTTTGGTAGAATTTTTCAAGTTCAGGATAAATCACTGCACGGATTTTGACCGATAACATCCAACAGTGCTAAATCTTTTGTTGGCCCATTTACTTCTTGCCAACCTAATAGTAGTGATCCTGATGGTATTACCTCCTCACATGAAAGACAGCGTGATGTTATCACGAATTCCAATGATTTTTAAAAGAAAACGTTAGGTTGAGCCCGATTCCTTAGAGATTCTCAGTTTGTTCTAATTGATATGTCTAGTGGAGGGAGTGGTCAAATACAGCCAGAAAAAATACAGAAAAAAAAGTTAAGTTCCTATTTTTACCGAAGAAATTCAAGATTTTGAGCCAGCTATTTGCAGAATGCTGGACTGAGTAAAAAAAACATAAATGAAGTTATGAGCGATAAATATTCAGGACGCAGCCTTTTTAAAAAAAAATATTTTTTATTTGTGCCAACTTTTCAACACAAACATGTGGGTCATCTTCAGGGCGTGGAGTACTTGAACACCCTCAGTGCTCAAACCACGCTCTGAAGATAACCCACATGTTTGGGTTGAAACGTTAGCTCAAATAAAAAATTAAAATTTTTTTTTTTAAAAGACTGCGTCCTGAATATTTATCGCCCATGATATGTAGAACATTCGACTAGCTTCCTTCAATAATTCACCAATCAAGTTAGATTTTCTATGGTAAAAAAAATTAATCTTAAGGAAACAAATCAAACAAAACAGATGTGTAGATGCTTAAACAAGACAATGCCAATTTTGAATTAGAACAAAAGTTTAGCTAAAGCAGATGATGGATGAAAAGTTACCAACTAAAGAAGAAGTTATCATACGACCTTAATTCATTCTTAGCTTTTCAACAAGAAAAACCTCAAAATTTGTATTTAGGATTAATGAAAAATTGAATAATGAAGAGGTAGTTGTTCATAACAACACTTAGAAGAAGACATTCGTCTGGGTCTGATTCCCTAGACATTCTCAGTGTTCTAATTGAAAATTGCAGTAGAGGGGGTGGTGAAAGGCAGCCAGAAAAAAATCCTGAAAAATTAAATTGCCATTTTTACCACATAAATTATTGATTTTGGATTCATATAGTTGCAAAATGCTTCACCGAGTCAAAAAAACATCAATTAAGTTGGATTTTCTATTGGAAAAAAAAACAAAACAATATCTTCAGGAATCCAATCAAACAAATTAGATGTACAATTTTCTAAACAAGACAATCCTTAATTTTCAATGGAACCAAAACTTTGGCTACGGTTGGTTCGAAGAAAGTCATTCAATAAAATCCATGCAAAGACTGAAGAATCTGTTTGTTTAAAATAATTTATCCATAAAAATACAAGGTATTCTGGTCCGCTAATAAATAATAATAAATTTCGTATTAGATATCAATCAAATCTCTTATAATTTGTAAGTTGCTGATAACAGAACTTTTTTTTTTTTTTAAGAAATTATTTTCTTCCAAAGGATGAAAGGTCTTGTGTGATAGACGCTTCCTTATAGACACAATTAGATATCCTGATAGACACAATTAGATATTTTTAATTGAATATTTTATTTTTCAAGAACTCTTTGTATAAAATAAATATATTTGTTTGCACAAAAGAATAAAGTATTCTAAATTATTTTTCCCTCTGTATTGTTAAGATTCCTTTAGTTTTCCTATATTGAGCC